CTCCAGTCTCCAGTCCAAGAATTCTCAAAGATGATTTCCGGTTGTTCTGAAACAGCCTCTGCTAGTTCATCTGGATGTAGTTCATCTGACCCTGGAGACTTGAATTCATTTAGAGTAGCCAGGTATTCCTGGACTACTTCTTTAACTATTTTGGGTTGCATTTCCCCTATTACCTCTTCAGCTTCATACTGGTCAGGTTGAATACCAATCTTCAGCCAGGTTACTAACTGGGGTGACTTACAGGGAGCGATCTACCCCCCTGTTTAAGGGGATCCATTGGCTTCTGTTCATTTTCCAATCCCAATTCAAGGTGCAGGTTCTGACCTACAAAGCCCTGAATGGTTTGGGACCCACCTACCTGCATGACCGCATTTCTGTGTACGAACCCACACGATCTCTTCGTTCATCTGGGGAGGCCCTGCTCTCGCTCCCACCTCCCTCGCAGGCGCGATTGATGGGGATGAGGGAGAGGGCCTTCTCTATGGTTGCCCCCCGACTCTGGAACTCACTCCTCAAGGATATCAGACAAGCCCCCACATTGGCAGTCTTTAGGAGGAGCCTGAAAACGTGGCTGTTCCAGTGTACCTTCCTCGAATAAAGGGAAAAATACCCTGAGAAGCACTTTAATTACCCATTGGGTTGCTCTCTACCTTTGGTTTAAAACCCTCCTACTAGATACATCCTCTGTTCATTTCCAGCATTTATTTTTAAAGTTTTAACTATTACACTGGCCCAGTCATAGGTTTTTAAATTCTTGTGTGTTATTGTCTACTTGTAAGTTATATTAATTGTATTGTTTATTGTGTTTATTGCTTGTGTTTTTACTATTACTTGTTGTTTTGATGTGTTGTTGGGCTTGGCCTCATGTAAGCTGCTCCGAGTCCTTTGGGGAGATAGTGGCGAGGTATAAATAAAGTTTTATTATTATTATTTTATATTAAAAGACTGAGGCAAAGAAGATGTTGAGTAGATCTGCCTTTTCCCTATCCCGTTAGCATTTCGCCATCCTCTCCACGCAGAGGCCCTACCATTTCCTTTTTCTTCCTTTTTCAACTGAGATAACCAAAGAAACCCTTTTTATTGTTTTTAATCTCTCTGAAAAGCTGAACTCCTTTTGTGCCTTAGTCTTAGGAATCTTTTCCCTACATATGTTGGTTATTTGTTTGAATTCCTCTTTGGTGATTTCCCCTTTTTCCATTTCTTGTGCATGTCTCTTTTACATCTTAGTTCAATTAAAAGTTCTTTGGACATCAATTCTGGTTGTTTCACACTTCTATTTTTTTCCTTGCTGGCACTGTTTGCTATCATGCCTTCAGTATCTCACTTTTAAAAAACCCCCATCCATCATTAAACATGGGAGAATGTTCCAACTTTCCTGATAATATGTAGTAGATTTTCTTGCTTTTCTTGTCTTTCTTTTGTCTTCCTGTTCTGATGCTACAAAAGTATTCATGAGTAAACTATTCTATATACTTTATGAAGAAGTCCGGGGGCTTTGTCATGTTAAGGCTGGGATTCACCACTCACCTCATCCCATACATACAGTCTCTGTAGCCAGATGTGAAAGAATGATATCAACACTGAGTTTCCCTAGGGTCCTCAAGGCATCTCCATGGTGCTATATATCATGATGAAAATATGGAGACTTTTAACCTCATCAGACACAGTCTTCTTGGCGTCCTCTTACCATTTCTCTATGCTGCCAAAACAGAGTCCCATGGAGGCCAACACATGATTTAAGACAATTTCCAGTAGGATTCCATGGGACTCCATTTTGGCAGTGTAGAGAAATGCAGTCCAGAGTGGCAGAAAGCAAGGGGAAGCTGGACCTTTATAAGGAAAAGGCATGGGATGTTAGAAGACAGATCTCAGTGGGAGGGAACAGATTAAGACGGTTCACTCCAGTGTCCCACACTGTCACATTCTTTCCCCCACTTTCTGTCTGCTCATGTGATAAGGTCCATAGTTTATTGGCTGGCTGCAGAGCCTGGAATGGCAATGAATTTGGCATGAAGGAGTAGATAATGGGGGTATACGGCTTAGCATAGTCCACATGAGGTTATTTATACTATGCTAAAGGGATTTTGGATGGAATACAGTAGAACCTCAACTTAAGAGTGTTTGAGTTAAGAGCCGCAGTTCATCCTGGTTTTGCTTTGACATGCAAGCAGCATTTTGAGTTAAGAGCTAGCATCAGGGAGAGTGCTACTGCTAGAGTACAGAGCTTTAGGGCTTCAAGGAGCACCTCCCCGGCCCATGTTTCCATGCCTTGTGGCCCGTGCTCTTGTATGTTTTGGGAGATTGCTGTCTGCTTTGCCCTTGTCCGCTTTGACAAATGTTGAGTTAGTTGATTTTGTGTGGTTTTTGGTTCTGGTATGTTTGGCCTCATGAAGAGAGAAAGGAAGAGAGAGCAAGGGGGGGGGGGAGACTGCAATGAGTACAGTATGAAGAAAACGATGCTTCTACATCTTCACTTTGTGCTTTGTACTTCCTTGTCACAACTTTGTGGTTCTACCATTGTGACACAGCTTTGTGGTTCTACCATTGTGACACAACTTTGTGCCTCTACCATTTTAAAATTGATCTTTCTTTTTTATTGTTCCATGTGAATGTGCATTTATACGTTATTTGTTATTTATAAAGTACATTTTCTTATTTTAAAATATGTAAGAAAAAACTTGGGGGAGGTTCCAGGGGGCCAGAAAGATCAATAGCATTTCAATGCATTTCAATGGAAAAAGTCATTAAGAGATCAGTCACAGAACAAATTAAACTCTTAACACAAGGTATCACTGTACTTCATTTTATCTTTAATTTATCACAGAATACAAGATTTTAGATAGATGTTGACCTTTTATTTTGTTAACTAAAATATAATACCTCATATTGATAGCTCAGAATAAATAAATGCACAATGTATCCTGTAAACGTGGTTAGTTAATGGTGCATAAAAGTAACAACACAATACTTCCTCTGGAATGGGATCTCAGTGGCAGCACTGTAAAGTGTGTGTATGTACAGCCAAAATGAGAAAGAAAGAATAGAGGTGTGTCATGGCTACACTATATTTCCTCTTTCAAGTATAGACCTGAAATGCCTAGATTCTCTCTTCTGGTGAAATATGGATGTACTCAGATACCAGGAAACAGAGGGCAAAATAAATTTTCCGTATGCAGTTGTAGAAAGGATATCTCACAAAACAGGATTCTATCCACCATCACTACTACCTCACACCAATTAAATGGAGAGGAAAGATAAAAAATGATCTGTTTTATTTCTGTTAAGCATATATAAACATTGTTTTATAGTTCTATAGCCTAACATTTTAAGTTAATAGAGATTTAGAATAGATAAAAATTAATACAAGAAAGAGAAGGAAAAAAAACAACACAAGAACTTTGTTAAAAGTCAGGCAAATCAAGAAATCCAAAGTTCTTTTTAAACTGTATTAACAGGGCTTAAGTGGTGGTGAAATGTCTACTGCTTTGACAATAAAGATGAAGCTCCAGAAGACCCCTCAAAGTAAACCATTAACAGCAAATTACTTCTAAATTTACTTTTATGCTCATATCACATTTGATGGAAATCTGTGTATTGTTGAAGGCTTTCATGGTCGGAATCACTGGGTTGCTGTAAGTTGAATGTAATTCCTTCCCCCTATTCTCTTAAAACTTTGATGAGGGTTTCCAAAACACCTTGAAGGTTTGACATGCTTGTACACATGTTGTCACAACATTCTTTAAATAGGAACCAACTTTCCTTGAATGCCTGTGCATTGTTATCTGCACATTTCACTGTATGCCTGAATTCAGACAACATGGTTCTTAGATTTTCTGTGGCATCTTCAGCTCTTGAGGACGCAGTTGCTAAACTTGCTTCTGCCACGCTTTCGCAGGCATACTTGTGAGCAGTAGCTTCATTTTTGGTCACCTTTCCTTCTGCAGATGGATTTTCTTGAATTAGATTTTCATACTCTTCCATTCCTATGAGATGTTTTCTCCAGGGAACATAGTGAAAGGAACTATCTTCCTCAGCATCTGCTTGAGGAATAGTTTCTGCTGCTAATAAAACCAAACTGTCTTTTGTAGTTTGTTTCTCACCTTCTCCAGATGTTTTGAATGGAGAGGATTCTCTACAGATAGTTTTGTTCCAAGTGGCTTGAGCTACAAGCAGTACAAAGAAAGCTAAGTTAAATTCAAGGAGATACAGTCATGCAACTAAAATTATGTGGGAAAAGTCCAACCCCTACCATTCTGTACAGACTGACTGGTCCCATTCTTCACCATCTATATGTTTGAGGAGGCAGTTGTGAGGAGGGAAAACCGTTCTAAGCAAATAAGAACCACCAAGAATTTTGAAAAGTTCTGTGTTACATAGGGAACCAATGCATATGAAACTGGGAGAAACCCTGCATATAAAACAAATTTGATGGTTGTCTGGATTTGGGAATAGAACTATTACTAAAAAAGCATCTCCATTTTGGCAGAGGTTAGTATTGCTTTCTAAACAGGTTTCTTATATTATTCTATAATCCGTATTTTTAATTTTCAGTTCAACAACAAAATTCTATACAACCTAAAAAGATACAGATTGAATAGTCTTTAGCCAAAATGCTTGGGAACAGAAATGTTTTTGGATTTTTTCCAGATTTTAGGATAACAGTATTTGCATATACATAAATAATGAAATATCTTGGAGCTGGAATCCAAGTCTAAACATGAAATTTATTTGGATTTCAGATACATATAAAATACTTTAATAATTTTCAGCATGAGACACTTTGTGTTTCATGCAGAACCATCAGAACCACCAAAAAGCACAGATATCATTATCTCAGCCACCCATGTGGGCATTTTTTGATTTGAAGGCATTTTTGATTTTAGAATTTCAGATAAGGGATAATCAAGCAAAAAGCCAAGTATTTCAGAAAAGACAATACTAAGATGTTACAGATGTTTTCTTAGTAGAAATATCTTGTTGAGAAAAAAACATACCGTTTGGCAATTTTGGGAGATATCTGCTCTGCTTGCTCCCCAAAGTATGATCTCTTGTTGATGTTTCAGAAAGGGATTTGTTTCCTGAAATAATTGATTCTTTACCTTTGTTGCAATGAAGCACCTAATACAAAGAATGAAAACCCAATATTGAAAATTAGATGATGAAAATGATACTTGTAAATTAGATGGTACACCAACACCTTTGCATCAACATAATGTTTATTATTAGAAGAATTGTACCCTCAACATATTCATAGTGATCATGGTTACTGCATTTTCTTTCATCTGGTGGTGGTTGCCCTTCCTTTGCCTTTTATTAATGCTAGCTATTAAATATTTCATCTCCTTTGGTACTCCTTTCCCATGTGTTGTTTACATCAAACTTACTCCAGTTATACTTAGTATATTTTGAGTTTATGAGAACAGAAATAGAGTTATTACCTGTGAAATCTGTTTGGTGCTAAAGGATGAATGATCATTATAATTTGCAAAGCAGTTTAAGATTGCCTCATATAGGCTATGTAGGAAATACATTTTGTCTAAAGCACTATTTGATTTCAATCAAACTAAAATCGACTCATTAGTTCAACTTTGAATTGTGAGTCAACATGCAGGTAGAGCCAATTAATTCAATAATTCAACACTAATAAAAATGTATTTATTTATTTATTTACTGTACTTATACCCCACCCTTCTCAAGCCCAGAGGGAGACTTACACTAGGCTTACACTAGGATTAAGACTAGGATTTAGGACTTTGTTGTTTTCTTTCATGATATCTATCCAATTTGTCTCTCATCATCTGTCCCTAATTTTAAATTTGGAAGTACACTTTAGCCTAAGTAATTTTCTTGCACATGACAGATCGGTCTTTTATAACACAAGTTTTAACTGGAGGAGACAAAAAGAAAACAATCTGTTCTGAAAATTTAACAAAAGTGTTCCATTTCCACCCAAAACCAGTAGCTGACATTAATGTTTCTCTCGGGGCAAATCTGCACAGGCCAGAAATCCAGGAGGAAAGGGGATAAAATAACCCACTTCCTCCGAGGTTTCTGTCCCCACATTCTCCCACAACCCCACATTTTCCCTTGGGGGGTGTCTAGATGTCATCCCCAGTCCCCCATTTCCCCAAAAAAATTTACCTGAGAAGCCTGCCGGCAGTGCCCCCATAGAGTACTTGAAAATGATGCATCAGGAGGTGGGAAGGGTGGAGAAGGGAAATACCTCCTCCTTCTCCCCCATCTCCTGACACACAGTTTTCAAACTTAAGGAATACTCTATGGAGGGGCCTGTGCTGCTGGGCACCCTCCCATTTCTTGAGGCTCCAAGAACTTAAGGTCTGGTCTTTCCGGGTGTTTAATTAATGTGGAGTAAACTGGGAAATCACAGTTTTATCCACATTAATTCACTTTTATTTAAGGAATCATTTGGACTCCTCGGTGAGTCGAGTGAGGCAGGTCCTACATTTTGGGCCTGTCTGGAAGGGCCCTCATTTTAAATTGAAAGTTAGTGAAAATTATTCTTTTGGATCAGAACTTTCAAAATCACCAGAACTCTAGTCCTAGGTTTTCAAGTCCTAGGTTTTCAGGATGTAAAAAAGTTATTCCGTGTTTTAAGGGGACCTGCAAAGTGATGTATATATTACCTTTTCTGGCTTCACTTTTTTGTCACATTGTGAACCATAATTTAAAGAACTCAGGGCCGCATAAAGATTCACTGGAGAAAACATAATGTTTTCATCTGGGTGGTTTTGGCTCAGGAGATAGAGGAAATCGATGGCAAATTTAGCATTTTCTTCAGCAAGGGAGGCCATGGTGAAATCAGTCTGCCCTAAATAAATGACATGACAACAAATCCTTATGTTGCATTTTCCAGTCTAGTTTTTCAGCTTATTACTTCCTTGATATATTCACAAGTGGGTGTGAGCTGCATTCTTACATAATACATCTATAATCTAACATAACCATTTTTCTTGTGTTACAGAAAGAACTACAAACACAAAATAATGATAAAAGTTGCAGTTCAACAAAAATATGTCTGGTGCTTCCTCTCTGGCATTTGTTAGGAAAAGTAGTTTTCACTACAAAAATAATAAAACATGTATGCAGATGCTCATTTTCAGCAATGTCAAAGATTTTTCATGTTTTCCAAGGTAGGACAATAGTTCCTGGGTTGCCTGCTTTTGGTCATAGCAATATTAAAATTTAGTCAAATCCTACTGCTTATAGATCCCAACTGACTGTTATTCATGCCACTAAAAGGAAGTATGGACCCTACTCTTTATTGTCTTCCTTTCTCTTTAATGATATCACAGCAAGGCAACCAAATCTGATTTGATATATACTATCAATACCATATATCCTGAAATATAATGGTTGAAATCTCCTAAGGGTATTACACAGGAACACTTCCTGCTTATGTAGTTGTATTTTAATGACATCAATAGTGAGGTGTCTAATGCCACCTTACAAAGTTATTTTTCATTTACAGTTTCCTCCATTAAATAGTTGGACTTTTCATGCTATTGGCTGAAATCACTAATTGTCTTAACTGAGAAGGAAGAGAAAATTGTTTTTATTAGCAAGGAAATGGTGCAAAAATGGCAGCACTCAAGTGGAGTTATGAAAATGAACAGAACTAAAAAAAAGTTTATAGTTTCACTGTTAAAGAGCTCTTGATCATCTACATTAGTATCTGATGCATTCCAAATTCACATCAATAAGAGCTAGATAATTACAGTACTACAAGGAAGATAACAAAATAATTTTGTGAGTCGATGGACACACCTTATTGGGAAGTATTTAAAAGTAACCACAACTTGTTCTTGGAAGCATAGCAATATTTTTCAGCCTCTTATGGCACATGACAAAGGGCAAATGTTTACACTTTGCCCCATTCACTAAAATCTCTTTACCTCCCACCCTTCAATTCAAGCTTCTGAGCTTTTTACCAGCAGGTTGAACTGGATGGCACTTGTGGCCTCTTCCAACTCTATCATTCTATGATTTTTAAAAGACTGTGTGGCAGAGATCAATATTGACAAAATTAATGTCAATTATCTACAATCCAGAGTTCTCCAGCTGTTTTAGGTTGCAACTCCAATCAGTTCCAACCAGTGTAGTTAATTGTCGGAGTTGTTAAGCTACAATAGCTGGAGGGTTTCATAAATGAGGAAACCTGGAGTATATTGAAGACTCTAAAAAGGAATTTCCTATCTCCAGAGCTTACGGAAGTTAAATGTTGACTGGGGGGTTAAGCAAAAAAGCAATTTGTTTCATGGCTCACTAGTAGGATCGATTTAGATTCAGTAACCAAATTAAGAGCTGGCTGCCACTCGTTCAACCTTCAAACAATTAGCACCATAAATGAGTCAGTGCAATAAGTGTTAATTACCCCGTCTTTTCTAAAGCCCACATCTGTCTTTCCTGAGACATATGCAAAAATGTCCTAAACATATAAGAATATAAAAGTTTACCTTCTCTTCCAAGAGGTATCTCTGAGAAGCTGGTGATTTTGTTTTGGAATGTCCCAGACTAAATGGAAAGCTGTCATTATTTCAGTTTGCATTCTAGCAAGCAAGTAGTGATTAGATTTCAGGATATTTACATAATGAAAGCTATGCAATGCACTATACACATCAGGCCTGTTCAGTAATTGCATTCATAGAGAATGAAATGCAGCCCATAAATAAAGCGAGTTAAAGTGACATGGCCATGTTTTTGGACAAATTGTTTTATTCATGTTGGAATCACGTGCATGTTTTTAAACTGGAAGAAAGTCCTGATTAATTGTGTGGAGCAGACTTCAGAATCAATGAGTATTGAATAATGTTATAGTTTTTCATTTCATAAAATGGTATATGAAGGTAGTCCAAGTTATTTTCTTGCCAGAATAAAGCAGAGAAGCAACTTTCCCTTATACCATGGGTAGGGCAAGTACATGTATCCCTCAACCCCACTTTGGTGATTACTAAAGCACTCTTATTCTCCCCAAAACTTTTGAAGGAATGGGGGCACAACCTCAGCTACAATCACAGCTCGTTTCCCACTCACTCTTATTCAACCATGGCTGGGTTGAGATACAGACTTGCAGACTAAACTTCTTACCTTGCAATGGCTGATCATGAGAAGTTTTATTCTCACAAAATGTGAGGGGATTCCTGTCAAATTTTGTGATTGGAGCCCTAATCTACATTATTTTAGTTTGGTTAATGAAGGGTCTGGGTACCAGGTTTGGTCCAGATCCATGGTCATGTTGGAGCCTTTGAGATATATACATATTTTCACTTTTATATTTTATATCTAATTATATAAAATATATAATATGTAGCTTTTGTTAGCTTCTTTACAAGTAATAATATATTGAATGTTGACTGCATTTTTTTGTATTTAACACAAGCAATAACAAGGAAAAGAAAAGATTAGACACTGAGCTAGGAAGATGGATCTTTTCATGGTCAAATAATATTATATTGAAAAAAATCTGTATTCTCTTATAGGAGATTTGTAGTGGTCAGTTGAAGAAGCAGTACCGTAATGTAGCATGTCTTTCCAAATACTTTCTGGCCCGGTGAAGGTTGATGCTATTTAGGATGTTTGTTTCTATATTCAATAGAGACAAACATATTTTAATTTATTTTATTGTACACTATATTGACAAGCTGGAACATGTCTAGAGGTGTGTGATCAAACTCGTAAAAGTTTGGAGAACAGTTCTACAAGGAGCAGCCTCGGGTATGTATAGCCTAGAGAAGAGAAGGTTATAAAGCAACACGATAGTCATGTTTAAATATTTGAAAAGGTGTCACATTGAGGAGGAAGCAAACTTGTTTTCTACAGCTCCAAAGACTAAGGACCTCATCACAGTGAGATTCAAAATGCGGGTGACAGTGTGTGTGTGTGTGTGTGGGGAGGGGGGGTATTTGCCAGGCAGTGTGGAAAATCCATGGGGCAATATGGGAAATCATCATCATATGCTTCACATTGCCTCCTTCCCCATCTCACAAGGGAAAGTGCCATAACCGATCTTCCCCCTGCATTGGCCCCATTGTAGGCAATGAGAACATGGAAAGCCTCCCATGTTCTCTGGGCTCTGTGCTACTACATTTCCAGAATGGAGCGAAAGCAGAGCCCCACTGGTTGTAGCCCTACATCATGTGATGGACTCTGGTGGGCTCTGTCCTGGCTCCATCCTGGAAACAACCTAGAACAAAGCCCAAACCTCATGTGATTAGGTCATAGGACACTGAGCAAGGAATTCAAACTCCAGGAAAAGAGATAGCACTTAAACACTGAGAACAACTTCTTGACAGTGAGAGCTGTTGGACAGTGGTATATGATAGTAGAGACTCCTCAAGAGGATTTTTAAAAGGTGTCTATTCCTGCTTTATTATTTACAGAAGTGTAGTGTATTGGGAGTTAGCACCAACACTGGAACCTGGGAAGCAAGTTAGTTTAAGCATTGAAAGCAGGCATACACCCTTTCCCCCAGTAAACAGGGGGATAAGGAAATCAGATGAAGGACTGCTGCTCCCCCCCCCCCCAACATTCACTGCCTGAGAAAATCAGAAAATGCTGTTTCAGCTCTTTGTTGGATTATATTATATTTGGGCTAATAAAAATAATTTATTTCTGCCCCAGGAGTATTTTCAAGCACTAAGCTTCCACGATCTTACATGATTGAAGCCAGATTCCAGTCTATGCATAAAGCTGTCTCCACCACTGAAGTAAATAGCAGAATACCATAGAATCACACTGGACGACCTGGAGAAACCCACAAACACACCTGCAGATTAATATTTTTGAGCATGAGTAACTGAAGCCATGGATATTGAATCCAAGGATAAATGTCCCATGTTGTACTTACAAAATGACTCATACATAGAACACTGGTTCTGCATTCATAAAAAATGCAGCTGTGTCATATTTTTGCTTGCTTGGGCATGACAGACTATAAGAATCCAAGGAAGAAAGTAGATTTGAAAATGAAAATACATATTTTAAATATTATACTTTTGCATTTAGCAACTTAAATGTATGTTAATCAAATGCATACTTTGTAACTGATTAACAGATATGCTTAATCAACATACCTTACTTTGCATATATGATTTATAATCTACAGGAGGAAGTGATAAGTCAGAAAAATGAACTTTGAGGTGACGTGGGAACTTTTCAACTTGACTTTGAGAAACTTCATTCCCTTTTTTTCTTTCATTTGTAACATTGTGTAAAAACTACAGGACCAGGGGTCCCTCCACACAGTCCTATATCCCAGAATATCAAGCCAGAAAATCCCACATTATCTGAATGTGGACTCAGGCCGGATCCAGACAGGCCCTAGTCCCAGAAGCACTCGTGTTTTAAAAATGCAGATGTTTCTGGGCCCCAGACCCCTTAGAAAACTAAAAAAAACCTTATGTGCCCTCCATTAGAAGCCCCAGCGAGCTCTCCCGGCGCTTAGAAATGATGCTCCAGGAGAGTGGGGGGGGGGGTAGCAATTTTCCTCCCTCCCCCCCCCCTCCTGGCACATCATTTTTATGCTCTGAGAGAGCTCGCCGTGGCTTCTAATGGAGGGCACATAAGTTTTTCTTCGTTTTCTAGGGGATCTAGGGGCTTTCGTCTTGGCATGTTTACAAAGGTCCTGCTAAGTTCAATGTTTCTGAGCAACATTTGGAGTGTCTCTCTTGTTTCATAGAACTGGCCTGTGAAGGGAGCAGCCCTTGGCAACAGCAACCAAAAGCCCCTGAAGCACCTGAATAAATGAAGGTGTGTCAGGATGTTTATCCATATCCATAGCACACAGTCAGGAGGAGACCTTGTAAAGGAAAGGACCATCAGTAGCAAAACTTGTTCCACACTCCTAAATCTGTAACATTGGGTAGTGCATACATTGCAGTTCACAGAGCTAAGTTTACAGTGGTAAAGCAAATATCCCAAGGCATCTGTTTATTAGTTCCCACAACCTCTCTCATGACAAAAAGTAGCAGCTGAAGGTTCCTAAGGGCCTACCTACACAGCACCTAAAACACAGTATTTACCAAGTAAAAGGGGGAGCTACATGACACTACTAGTAAATCCGTTCTGATTCACTTCAACGGAAGAGAAACACGGGGTAAAAAGGTCCCCTTTAATTCTGATTCTGGCTGGAAAATGTGTATATTTGCATCACTGTATATCCCTGCACTCACAAAAGACATGTGATTTCCTTCTCTCGCACCTATGGAGACTGCTCCAGAAGATTCCCACTTTTTAAAAGCCCAAAACAGCTAAGCCAGTAGTGCAGTCTAACTGGCTGATGAAATTGGTGGGAAAAGCTTAGCCACTGGAGAGAGAAGAAACTGAAGAGTGCCGTGGGCGGAAGGGAAATTGTAAAAGGTTTAAAAGATTCCTGTTTGAATTCCTGTGTGTGGAACTTTGTTTTAAAAACTCAAGATAAAAGTACTATCCTCTAAGTCAGTGTTTCTCAACCTGGGGGTCGGGACCCCTGAGGGGGTCATGAGGGGGTGTCAAAGGGGTTGCCAAAGACCGTCAGAAAACATAGTATTTTCTGGTGGTGATTGGGATTCTGTGTGGAAAGTTTGACCCAATTATATTGTTGGTCGAGTTCAGAATGCTCTTTGATTGTAGGTGAACTATAAATCCCAACAGCTACAACTCCCAAATGTCAAGGTCTATTTTCCCCAGGCTCTATCAGTGTTCACATTTGGGCATACTGAGTATTCGTACCAAGTTTGGTCCGGATCCATCATTGGATGAATCCACAGTGCTCCTCTGGATGTAGGTGAACTACAACTCCCAAACTCAAGGTCAATGCATACAAAACCCTTCCAGTGTTTTCTGTTGGTCAGGGGAGTTCTTTGTGCCAAGTTCGGTTTAAATCCATCGCTGGTGGAGTTCAGAATGCTTTTTGATTATAGGTGAACTATAAATCCCAGCAACTACAACTCCCAAATTACAAAATCAATCCCCCCCCCCCAACCCCACTAGCATTCACATTTCGGCATATTGGGTATTTGTGCTCAATTTAGTCCAGTGAATGAAAATACATCCTGCATATCGGATATTTACATTACGATTTATAACTGTATTAAAATGACAGGTATAAAGTAGCAACGAAAATAATATTATGGTTGGGGGTCACCACAACATATGGAACGGCATTAAGAGGTCACGGCATTAGCAAGGTTGAGAACCACTGCTCTAAGTAAAGCCTGACAATTTATTTGAAACCATTATGCTTATTGACTGTTCAAAATAAACAACATATTCCTGTTCCATTCCAACTGAAGTCTTTGAGTGGCTTTTTAAACATTCCATTAAAGGAGGTAGCCTATGAAAATAATAAATTGGTGACAGCAAAAGAAATCTTAAATAAATAATTGGAGGCAGCAAAGGCAAAATATAGTATACCGTGGTGGCTTCCCACTCTCTGGCTTTGTGTGAGTGAGGGTGTGTGTGTCCTCTGGTTCCCTCATGGCCTCGCCTTGGGCCCAGCCTTGTCGTTTTGTCCTTTGTCTTCCATCTTGTGTGTGGTGGTGCCTCTTGCAAGTTCTGCCCTCCCTCCTCCATCTTGGTTGTTGCA